GTGTGTGTGTGTGTGTGTGTGTGTTGGTCTGTCTTGTGTCATATTGGGGGCAAATATGGTGTGTGGTCAAACGAGGTTCCCCTGGAGGCTGCGATGCTCATTACGCCAGAAAGCTAAAACTGCTGGATGGATGAAAATGGAGACAAGTTTTCGTTAATTGGACCCGAAGCGCTAGTGAGGCGAAAACATTTAAATAAGTAAAGTTTGTCCTGTGGGTGGAGCCAGGGGAAAGGTCGTGTTGTTCGCTGAAGCTGCAAATTTGCACCGTGGACTGACAGTGAACCGTCGTCACTACGCTAACCTTCAAAAGACGAAACAGAGGATGACATCACAAAGGAGGCGCGGTTAGAAAGTCCACTTGCTCGGAGGGCTACTGTTAGCTTGTGCAAATGTTTGCTAGCACGTTAACACTATGATGTTTGCATTTTAGCATAGCGTGCTAAAACCATAAATCTCACCTTTGTGTCACTTGTTGAAGGTTGTTTTGGAGAGGAGTGTAACGGACTCATTGTTGCCCCCTGTGGCAGCTGGGGGCAAAAACACCCACTACAACTACGGTTCTCACCACAAGAATACTTTACTTGACTCACATGAGCTTTAACATGCTAACACGCAAACATTCAAGTGTTAACATAGCATGCTAACATTTATCATGTATGTTCATTTAGAATTAAACTGTTTCCTGTGCCTTTCAATCTCTGACTTTAATGCCTCATCTTTCTCCAGAGTGTCGAGATGAAGGAAGAGACCATTTAAACTATATGTTGAAACTCTCACTCGCAGACTGAAGAGCACAAGAAACATTATCTTTCCTTTGGTCTCTTAAGGGGAAAATCCTGCTGTTTTACTTTGTAATTGGAGTTTAGTCTGTGCACATTCCACTTTAATCTTAATGAAAAGTCTAAGGGGCTTAATGTCTATAATTAATGGCTTCTGCTCCCTAATGAATGTAAAAGGGAAAATTGAAGCAATAACCTCTGAATCCAGAGGATTATTACTGGATCGTCACGCAGCAAAAAAATCATTTGTTCGTCCTTGGGAACATGGTGATGAGCTGACTATTTGCAGTAACTAGTAGACTCCTGACTGACTGCAGATCGTGCTGCATCTCTGAGCGCTGCAGTTTATATTCCCACAGAACAGGGTTACATAAAATTGGATGATCCAGCGCAGCTAATGAGACAGCTTCCCTCATTTCTGGACACACACGGCTCTCTGTTCCCTCAAAGGTGAACACAGTCAGGGCTTTCAGAATAAAGTCGAGCAGTGAACCAGGATATTGTGGACATCACCAGAATGTAAAATATCACACTCTATGTTCAGTTTTTTCTTTTTTAAGGTCCCATATTTTCTTCTTCTTCTGTGTTTTATTTGAAGTGTTGATCCATAAGAAGATACAGTATGTTTGTGGTTCTCAGAATCATAAACCATCTCAGTGTAGTTTTACATCTCTTCTCTCAGGCTTCTCTCTGGAGCTCTAGTAACAACAGGTCGGTGAGCCAATCAGAAGAGAGGAGGCTCTGAGCCTCTCTTCTGATTGGCTGACTGTTTTCTGAGTGATCCAATAAAAATATAGCAGATTTCAGGTAAAAACACTGAGAGAAACCAAATCCTGCAAGGTTTGGATGGTGGGTCCAGGTGGGCGGGGCTTGGTGACTGCTTTGTTGTGACATCACAAAGTTCCAGAAGTCCTGACAGCTGGTTTTAAGGCTCAGTTTCTGAATACAGGCTGTGTGCATTTCTCTGTGGACTGAGGCTTTGATACTTTCACAGTATTAATATAGAACCTGGACCTGATCTATGATCACACTACACATGGACAGAGACCTGTAGACTATATGGGACCTTTAACTCAAGTCCTTGGAAACTGGTGTGAAAGCTGTTTGCAGCTTTGCATGTTAAAAGTTCAATATATATATATATATTTTTTTCTATTCAAGGATAATAAATACATGCAAATGAAAATGTCCCCAAAAAAATGACACCAGCCAACATGTGTGTGAGCGAGTCCTTCAGTCACCTGCTTGGCGATGGCCCAGAACCTCTTCTCCAGCAAATCCAAGGACATCTGCACCCCGATAGCTAAAAATAGAAAAACACACACACACACACACACACACACACACACACACACACACACACACACACACACACACACACACACACACAGAGATTTAAGACAGACGCAGGACAAGATGGACTCTGCAGAGGCGGTGTTGAGCAGTTTGCTGTTGTTTGTGGAGGGAAGAAGGTGGAGGACAGGAAATCAATTCGACCCTGGGTTCACCTCTGCCGTGTCCTGACGCTAATGAAGGGATGTAAACACTGATGAGCCTGATGGTGTGTGTGCTTCCCTGCAGGCTGAGTAACAACGCGTCCCCCCCACCCCCCACCCTCAGTAATGCACCGTAGCAGCTTTATTACTCTGGCACTGGAACAAGCGTTTAGAGGCTTGTGGAATAGTGAACAGCTGATACTCTGTTAACAACTCTGTGTGGAGTCAGTTATGTGCAGGATGCATCAGACACTGAGCTGATGGTGTCATGGACTTTACTCTCTACCATCCAGAGGACAGTTCGCTAAACCCTGAACAATCGTCCAATCACAGCAGGTTAAGCTTCAGGTTTCTCCACATGATGAAGTGTCGTGTGTGGAGCTGTAGTTAGCCACAAATGTGACGTCACTGACCACTGTCTGCCCAGGATTTGAATCCAGTATTTACAACAAAGTATATACAACACTTAAAAGGCAGAGTTAGCATATCATTAGCTAGCTACACTGTTATGTGTGGTCACAGGTTGCAGTAGAAAAAGTCTTGTTCAGGACTGACTGTGGCATCATCAGAGTTTAGGCTAATGTTAGCATGTCATGCTCTTTACAATACTGTCTCATGTGAAGTTTGAACTAAGTTTCTATAGTTTTCTATAGTTAGCATCTGAATGTATTTATGCTAGAAAGAAAATGACAAGATTTTTCCTTTCTAATACCATATAATAAATCTATAGCAGACTAGAAGCTACATCGCAATACGTGAACAACGCCATGTTAGCTTTTAGCCTCAGCCTTTTCCACATCATCACAGCCATCAGGTGTATAGTTATAGTCTCATTTTTATACAAGTCAGTCAGAAACATTAAAAGAGCAGCTGGAGACGACATTTCCTCCAAACTCACAGATTTGAGGAGTAGTTAAAGTTGGTTAGCTCGATAGCTAGCTCACTTGTACAGAATGACCTTTCTTAACTGATAAACTCTCCTAAAAATTAGTGGTTGGTTTTATCGACTTCAGTGTGAAATCAAAGACCTATTCACCCATCAAACACAAACTAGAAACCTGAAAGATTCTTCTAATTTGCGCCTTATAACTAATACAGTACGGTAAATGATTAATCGTTAATAAAACTACAAACAACCTTTCAGAACTTATCAGTATATGTTGGCCGATAACTAACAAGAAAATAAGAGGAGAAATGTTGTGGAAATGCTTGAGGTTATTTGGAAATATCATATTTGTAGCATAAAGCATCAAGTATGAAAACCTGCAGTAACAGCTCGTGGCCACTTGTGGGCAACAGACACACACTACGAACACGACATCGACAAAAATCATCACCGTTCAAGTTGATGTGGTGACCTGGTTGCAAAACTTGTGTTAACATATGAATAAATAAATAAATCAATAAATAGATAAATATAGTTGATATTGTCCGATATGGTACGACTGTTTTAACAAACCAGAAATCCAGTGATGCTCTGACCGCATGTTGACCGTTTTAGCACCTAATTAGCAAATCTGAGGTACAGTAACAAACATAAAGTTAGTAACCACAGCAACGAAAAGCTCTGCTTTCTGCCTGCTGAGATCCAGTCGGACCCAGTGGACCTGAGGCCGCGACGTTAGAGGACCAGCGGGGGTCATTCACCTCAGAGCAGCGTAATATCTGCAACTGTTTCTGTCACTTCAATAATGAAAACTGTTCTTCACACAGGCAGCTGGTCTGCAGTCACACACACACACACACACACACACACACACACACACACACACACACACACACACACACACACAGATGTGATACGAGGCGACATGTTGAGCCTCTTGTGTACTGATATTATTGGAAAAGCAGAGCAGCTGTAAAACCTTTTATTTCTGGTCGTTGCTTGTTATTGAGCTTCTAGTTGTTGTGCATTTCACTGACTGCAGATTTTCCTCTGATGCTGCTGTACAGAAAAAAAAACAACACTGCTTCTGGTTTATGTAGGAATTTAGGTGTGAACAAACCAAGCATATTCATTTTGGACATTTTATATCAAAGCCTGAAATATTTAATTTGCATTTTTTTGCAAACAATACTGAGATTATTCTGAGCCTGTGGTTTTATCACTGGAAAATACGGTCATGTGGTCAGTGTGAAGACAGTTTACACTGAGACAGATTGTTTCTTGTTTGTGTCGATTCATGTTCTTCCAACTGCAATTTTAATGCTGCCAAGGGAAAATGTGCTACTCCGTCCACTGGTAACGACTCAGAGCTCCAGTCTGGGAGAATTGCCGGCAGAGACTCTTTACACACTGTCACTTGATCGTTGTCATAATAAAAATATTGATTATAGTTGATTTAATGGATCCTGGACAGCTAAATTAGCATTTTGTTCCACTATACGTTACAACTAGTTTCTCTGTCATGGTTGGAAGTCCATTCATGTGCCAGTTAAAAAGTTAAATGCATTTTATATGAAAGTATCTTTATGTTAAAGCTCCATCTTTTCTTCTTCTGTGTTTTATTTAAAGTGTTGATCCATAAGAAGATATATTTGTGGTTTCAAGAACCAGAAACCATCTCAGTGTAGTTTTACATCTCCTCTCTCAGGCTTCTCTCTGCAGCTCTAGTAACAACAGGTCGGTGAGCCAATCAGAAGAGAGGCTCAGAGCCTCCTCTTTTCTGATTGGCTGACTGTTTTCTGAGTCATCCAATATAAATATATGAGATTTCAGGTAAAAACACTCAGAGAAACCAAATCCTGCAAGGTTTGGATGGTGGGTCCAGGTGGGCGGGGCTTGGTGACTGCTTTGTTGTGACATCACAAAGTTCCAGAAGTCCTGACGGCTGGGTTTAAGGCTCAGTTTCTGAATACAGGCTGTGTGCATTTCTCTGTGGACTGAGGCTTTGATACTTTCACAGTATTAATATAGAAGCTCGACTTGATCTATAATCACACTACACATGGACCGAGACCTTTACACTGGAGGAGCTTTAAAGGTTAAAAGGACAGTTTAGTTGTGTGGACTGAATGTGTTCGTAACTATCAAAATATTTCTGTTTGAATACAGAGAAAAACAGACTGTGGTTTATTCATTTCTGTGTCACAGCAGTTCAACACTCGCTCTCACATCTCGCCCTCGGTGCTGAGCGTCTGCTGCACGGCGAGGAGCTAAACACACATTTAAGAGACGGGTTTTGAACTGGGACACGTTGACGAGCTCAGCGTGAAGCGGGAGTGTTGTAGTAGAGGGAAGAAATGTGACGCTGCATTTGTGTTCAGGGAGAGAGTTGTGACCTCTGGGTCGCTGAAACCTCTTAAGGCATCCCTCTCGTTCATTCCTTTAAAATAGCCTCTCTGCAGACTCAGTGGTCTGCGGCTCTGCCCTGCTGTTTCATTTCATTTCATTTCTCTGGGTTTTTTTTCTTCTTCTCCTTTCCTGTCAGCAGTGTCCTCCTCGCCGCCCTTCAGCGCTGCAGCTGCACTGTTTCTGCTGCAGTCTGCAAGGACGAGTCCACGACGGGACAAAACACGCCGGACACATTTATTCTGCTTCTTCAACCCAAGACGTCAATAACCTGAAAATACTTCCTGGTGTTGAGACTCTGAGGACAGGTTTCTGTTTCTTCTTGTTTCGTGCATGAAAAGTTAATGATGACACAAACTGAAAATCTGCAGCTGCATTATTATTCTTAGTGTTCATTTTATTTTACCCAACTTCTCCTGTGTGATGTAACTGTGTGCTGAGTATTGAAATAAGATCCTTCTTTCGGAGAACATTAAAGTTTTATGGCTCGGTTCATTGCCAGCACTTTCTCTGTTTGTACTTTCTGAGTTTTTTTTTTCATATTTCATGTGTCTTTTAATTCAGATTTTTCTCTTCATGCTTCCTCACATCTGTTGTTGAGTCATATTTTCATCTCCACCCATCACACTCTCCAAGCGGAAGTCTCACTGTCACTTTTCATACTTCTCATTGTCCATGTTGTTAATTACAGCTGTTGTTTCTGGATCCTTCTGCAGAATTTGCTGCAACAAGCAAATATGATTTTATCTTGATGCAGTAAATGCAACACATGCAGACCCATACACTTTCTCTTGACTTATAAAATAAGAGTTTTTTCTCTCCTGGCTGCTGCTCCTGCAGTTTTGACTCCAATGATCTGATCTCTGTGCAGAATATAGATAGATAGATAGAGGTATGGCAACTAGCTTTTCTCGTCTTATCGACCTCTTAAAGTCACATTCACACATTAAAGCACTTAGGAGCAAATTGAGGTTTGGTATCTTTGCTCAGGGACACTGGAGGAACCGGGAATCGAACTGCCGACCTTCTGATTAGTTGAAACTGCAGTGAGTCTGACTGTACCAGAGGTTTTCTACAGACGCCCTGAGAGCTCAACGCACCGCAACTTAAGAAAAACACATGCAAATACACAAAACACAAACACATTCATCAGTTTGACAACACATGTGCTGCAAATACTCACAACACAACAGGAAGTGTTTCCAGGGGAAGCTAAAAAGTGATGGACCATGCTGGGATGCACTTGCATGGATGTATTATAATAAATATATTCAAATACATCCATGAGCACTTGTCATTCAATGCTTTTAACTTAAAAAATTATATCTCTGTCTGGTGCATCACTCTTTAGTGTCCCCTGGAAACACTTCCTGTTGTGTTGTGAGTATTTTGAACAGTATTTTGCTGCTTTGATTAAATCCACAGATTGAAAATTATTCTGCTTAAACAAATTGAATATGGCCCCGAAATATCTACAAATTCAATTTAACTTTTGCCATAGAAACACCGTTTAAG